ATAAGAGAAATAACTCAAATAAGTATAGAAAATAAATATTTGATAGATTTTTATAGTAGGTTTGACAATGTTTGTTTGTGGTAGAATTCTTTGAATGGGATATTTTGTTGTAAGGGCTAGGCTCCCATACTCTTTTAGTTTGGCCTTGTCGAGGATCGAGGTTGGTAGTGTAGGAGATATCGAGCTTCAGGCATCTCCCCGACACATTACTTCTCGGAGATACCTCAAGCGTCTCCCCGACCCCCGACTTTTTGTCGTTGTCGGGGTTTATCAAAAAATAGCTAACTAAATATTATATTTCGGCGCGCGTGCGAAAATTTTGATTTATAGTTGCAGTAAAATCCAAAATTCATTATTTCGGTTTTGGGCGAATAATTTTCAATTAGTATATAACAATAAATACATATCATTTTACCTCAGGGCTCTCATCGACAAAATGCCACTCAAAAGTATCAAAATCTTGATAAAAAAGTATATAGGGAGAAAATTTCCAAATTTAAAGTATACTCCAAATTAAATTGGAAAATATTTATTCGTGCTAAAATCTTTTATATTTCGCTCCTAAATTAATCTTTTCTAATAATTTCTTGCTTCCACTGAGCATTTTGTGCATTTCAACGCATGACATGTCAAAAACGCTGATCAAGCAAATTACTTTCATCCATTTTCAGCGCCGCAGCGATAATTTTGAGAATTTTAGAGCTCTAGAAGCCAGATTTCTCCCATTTTCAGCGCCGCAGGCGAAAATTTTGATAACCTGGATTCGAACCCACCACACGAAATTTCTAGGTAAGCAAATTCAGTCAACCTAACCACTCAACCACCGACCTACATAATGAATGGTGAAAGAAATTATAAATAACTCTTTCCCTTTTCCTTAAAATAATTTTATTTCGAAGTAGGAGAGTGTTTTTTAAAAATAAAAGGTCTAAAAAGCCGTCTTTAGGGGTGAGTCCATCCCTGATAACTTCCGCATATAACTACACAAACACTCTTGATCCTTAAATATCGTGCCCAAATTTCACATTTTGGAGTTCAAGAAGCCAGATTTCTTCCATCTTCAGCGCCGCAGGCGAAAATCTTTTGAAATTTGGAGCCCAAGAAGACAGATTTCTTTCTTTTTCAGCGCCGCAGGCGAAAATTTTGATAATTTCGAAGGCCCAAGGCTAAAAAAATTCACTTTTTTGCCCAATCCCTTCCCCAATTTCATTCTCAATCAAATATGTTGATTTCAAAGTATATACTTTCAATAAAGTATAAATTCAATTTCTTAAGTATGGAGGTCGGTTTCAAAGTATAATACTTTCAAATAAAGCACGAATGAGAGCCCTGTTTTACCTCCTTTAATTTTTACAAGAATACCAACAGCAATATGTAATATTATAGCAATTAACATTAATGGTATCAAAATAATTCTTGAATCAAATGAATTAAGAGCAGTTACGCCAATAACTTCCCCTAAAAAATTAGCTACAGGCCAATTTGGATACGCCTCTATTGAAGTATAAGTCAAATGAACAATAAATATTCCAAAATTAATAATTATTATTAGATGTATTGAAATATAGAGATGAGAATTAAGATTGATGTAACTGTATAAAATTGGCAAATTAAAACCAAGTAAATACACGTACTTATAAGCACTAGTGTATAAGTACTACTACGTTCAGTACTTTTTTCGGATCCTGATCTATCAAACTTACTGGAGACTTGGTAAGTATTTACTGGAGACCACCAACTTACTGAGACCCTTTTGGGTGTCTTATACATACATATTTGAGGGAAGAAATGATTGGCATTAATTAGGGAGGAAAATAAATGATTGACGGTAAAAAATGAAAATTAATCTGAGACTCGAATAGGTGTGGGAGACGCGATATGAACAAAGTACCATTAATAGTTTTATAAACTTTCATTGGTGTAAATTTATGGAGGTCTCCTAACTCACTCACAACTCTCTCTACGCTCAATTTATAATGGTTTTATAAATTTATTAGTTACAATATTGGAAATGCGATAGCAAAAACTCTATCCAAACTTAAAGATGCAAACATCAAAATTGACGCAAAAAAACCAAAGATCGGTATAGCTTGATATTTAAAAGCTAATATAGCTGGTACAAAATTACTTCCTTTTATTGTAAAAATCAAAAAGAATAAATGACCAATTTGATGTAAAACTTCACAAAACGAGTTGATAGCCAGTAAAATACTTGTTTTGCTTTTCATTGCTGTATATTTTCCCCTAAATTATTTAACCCGATTTAATTTTATAGAGTAGGTTGCAAAGGTTCAGCTTTGAATTCTATTTTATATCGTAGGTGTATAATTCAAGGATCTTGAGTTATCATAGGTTCTGATTATATAGTAACACTAGTTAACACAATGCCTGTCTGATTTACGTAGAATTCCGCAGAATTAGGAATGATTCTGATTAATCAATTAAATCAAATAATAAAAATAATCAATACAAACTCAATAATTAATTGAAACAGGCTTCTGATCGCTTTCTAATGATCTAAGTTTATGTAGCACAGCCCTGATACTTAGGTTACTGATCTTAATTGATTGTCTTCACCATCAATAAAATAGGATTTAGGCTTCTCATAAGAAAATCAGTGGTAATAATTTTATAAAATATTCAAGATTTAAATCACCAATATTTCACTACTATATAACAAACACTTGAATTCATTGAAATTCCAAATAAAGAAATTACACCCATAAAAAATGCAGGAAGAAAAATAGCAAATTGAAAGCCATAAGATTGATAAGCCAGAAAAATTTCCTTGAAAAATTTATTTTTAATTTCTTGATTAAAAGGGCGGCGAAATATTTCAACTTCTGGCCTATTAAAATTGCAGCATATTGCGATATGATACTTGATATTTTTGTTGAAATGTTTTATGTAAAAAATATAGAGGTCTCCCCGACTAAACCGCTAAGGATCAATCGAGCGTTTGAAATTAAAAAATAGTAGTGATCCGGTGGGTATCAGGGTTGAGGCGTAATTACGAATTACGATTACGAATTACGGCGTTTTTTGAGTTACGAATTACGATCACGATAATATCGGTCACATACCTACTGGGTATGTGATCAAGTCTTAGTCTTGAGTATTGGACGTTTTTCTGTCTCAACATTTAAAAAATAAACTAAAATAAACTAACGGGTAATTTTAATGTAGTATTATTCATTTTAAATTAATGTAGTATATTGGTTTTTAAAAATAATTTTAAACATTATTATTTTAAATATTTTTTTTAAATTTAGGTAATAAATAATTGAAATTTTTATTGAAATATTTCAATTTTTGATTAAAATTTAAATTAATAATGTTGCTTAAAAGTTACATAATTAAACTAAAATTACTAGCTAATAAAATTAGAATATTTACATACATCAAGTTTACAAATTATACGACACTAAATTTAATTATAAGCTTGTTTAAAATTATTCTATAATTAAATTTGAAATAACATATTTCTAGTAAATTTTATCTTTGCTTTAATAAAGTGTACCGGAACCAATTATAATTTAATAATTTAAATAAAATTTATTTCGTTCAAAACGGCAAAACTGACATAATTTTTTTAAACAATAATCTGATTGTATTTTTAAATGTAAACAACAAAAACTGGAAAAAATTTACAAAATCGTTGTAAATAAAGCAATTTTTAATTAAATGAATAGGTAGATTGTTGTGGTAAATTAATATAATAAAACTTTACATGTAATTGTTGGATTTATGTAGATAATTATGTGAAAATGTATAATGGTGGGAATGCCAGAAAAATGCAACACTCCCCAAATCTTTTACCTCATTAGTAGTTTTTACCTCATCTTTTACCTCAAATGCTTCTTGTCGTTATCAAATTAAAGAATACATACCCTAGAAATTAGTGATGGTCGGGATTCCCGGTCTCGGTTCCCGAGTCGGGAAATTTCCCGGGTTTTTTGAGCTCTCGGTCTCGGTCTCGGTCTCGGTGTTTTAGTCTCGGAAAACGAGACTAAATTTACACCCCTAATGACGAAAATTTTTTGAACTTTTTGAAGGAAAGGGGAAAGGAATATATTTATAATTTATCCCATTTGCTTTTGATGGTTGATGGTTGAGTGGTTAAGTTGACTGACTTCACTCTTAAATATTTCGTAAGCGCTGGGTTCTAATCCTAAGGTGGAAAGAGGTTGTGAAAATTTTTCTTTTCGGAAATAAACGTTTTTAAACTTTGATTTTGATTTTAAAATTTTTAATTTATTTTTTCTTAATTTTTTAAACTTGAAAAAAACATTAAAAATTTTAATTTAATCATGAATTTTTCAAAATTTCCTCTTGCGGCGCAGCGTTTTCGCCTCCGGCGGTAAAAAAGAAAGAAAGCTGGCTATTGGCCTCCAAAATTTTTCAAAATTTTCGCCTGCGGCACAAAAAATTGAAGAAATCTGACTTAAGGACCTCAAAATTCTCAAAATTTTCGCCTGCGGCGCAGGAAATGGATGAAATAGGAAGATTTATGGCTTCAAAGCCTTGCAACGTTTGTTGTGTGGTTTGTTGTGTCACATGTCCCGTGGGACATGTGAGACTGAGAGAGGGTATCACTCCTAATCTCTTGGTCTCGACTCTCGGTCTCGACTCTCGGTCTCGACTCTCGGTCTCGACCCGGGACTCGGTCTCGGGGTCGATTCCCGGTCTCGGTCTCGACTCTCGACTCTCGGGTTTTTTTAACTCCCGACCATCACTACTAGAAATACAGCATTCCCTCCCTGGAAAACTCAATCCGCTGTCCGCTGCTTTTAAAGATTCAAAAGTTAAATTTTCTTTAATTTGATAACGACAAGAAGCATTATTTAAAAATAAAATATTTAAATTTAAAGAAATGGTGGTTAAAAAGAAATAAATACTAAAGAATAAAAAATGAGAGAGAGAGATAAATATGAGAACAATTTTTTAAATAATTTTTTTCTTGATTAAATAAATTAATCCTTTAATTTTTAATACAAAAATCATCCAGCAGCTTCGGCAAGTTCAGCCAAAGGTTCCAAAACTGGAACAAAACGAACACGATCTGAACCTCCAGAAGAAGAACGACGACGATGCCGACCAACAGTATGTCCAGACAAATAACTTTCATCAGCCATAGGCTTTAAATGATGAACTGAAGAATCCTCACCAACATTTGTGGGTGACAATGGACGGCTATATTTATCAGGAATGACAGATTTGAGGTAAACCTGGAAAAAAATTAAACTGTAATAACTATGATGGTTATCTCTCAGGGAGTTACAGTCAGAGGAAGATTTTTGAAATATTGGAGCCGGAATCGAAACTGGGAAATCAGAAAAAATGTCTTAACTCAAAACGAAATAACGTCATAAATCGGATTTCGACCGACAACTTCTAAGTACAAAAAATAATCCAAAAAAAATAATTATGTTTTTTCATTTTAAAATTCAAAACATAATCTTCTTAAACATACATCAGGAAGTAATTTATCAGGCTGCGCCTCATCTCTCACAATTCGCACTGAGCCAATATTACCTTTGATCAACTATAACTTTTAAAATAAATTTTTGATGAGCAAAATAAAGGACCTGTTCATAGCGAATTAATTGCCTCCAAAATCCAATATTTGGTCTAACTAAAGGCCGTTTTTCACACATTAAATGATAAGCAGCACGTAATGACCGAGTTCGATATTTGAGCAAATATGCAAGACAAATACTTGCTGAACGGCTAACACCCGCAACACAGTTGACAAGAACGGCGCCACCATCTCGAATAATGGCATGCATCTGGAGAAGAATTTTTGATTAGATTAAATTAAAAGTTTATTCAAGGGTTCTAAACCGATTATACGTAGTTGCGAGAATTCGTATTTGGAGAACGGGAAGTGGAACCTCCTGCAAGCTGGGGGACCTCCGACTGTCATTAATCGGGGAACTCACGAAGAAGGGCAGTCCCCTAGAATCTTATAATTTAACTTTCAATGAATAGTTTGCTTGATCTCCACCCGAACCAATCCAACATTAAGGACGGTAATAGAGGAATTAAATGTAAGCTTGCCCCAACAAAAAGACCTCTAAATTTGGGTTGATTTTTTGGACTTTTAACAAACTAGGCTGTCCTAGTTCCTTTTTACTAGCTAAACATTCGATTATCTACCTGATCAGCAACAATATCAAAATGAGCAAATAAATCTTCTTCAGGAGTATCCTCAACCCACAATTTCATTCTTGGTACTTGTCCCAAACATTTAAGGTTCGGAACCTCTCGTGTACAGTTAACAACTAATTGAATTCTAAAAGCACAAATATTCGCTGCTGTAAGCCCATTAACACCACAAATGAATAAACCAGGAATTATTTCAGATAATTGGGCATACTCTTCATTTACACGGAATGACAAAGGTGGCATATTTTTTAATAATTTAATGTTGTATTTTTATGGAAGGATGTTTTTGAAAAATAAGTTTTAAATTATTAAATGAAAGCAAATTTTCTGTGTACGTCTGAAAAATAAAAATAATTAAAATTAGTCTATAAATTTGACAAAAAAAATTAAAAATTTCTTAGGAATGGAGAAATACTTTAAAAAAACTATAAAAGACTGATGAATATTAATAAAAAATGGCGGTATGTAACAGGGATGGATCCGCTTCCGCCTTCCGCTTTTTAAAATTGAAAATTCTCAATCTCTAGTATGCAAATCAATGATAGAATTTTTATATAAAAGTCAGGATAATTGAGGAAGTATCAGTTCTGATATCGAATATATCATTGGAATTTAAAGGATACGCCAACCCCAATATTAAATATTATCAAAATGAAGGAAAAATAATTTTAAAAATAAATTAATGAGAATCTTATTAAAAAAGGTCATTAAATAAATATTTACTCAAAAGAGGAAGTTAAATATTTAAATTAATTTTTAGGTGATAAAATGCATATAAACTAAATAAAAAGCAAATAAAATTTGGAGGTTAATAATAAAAGTATATTTTAATTAATTAAATTATATCAATAAAATTACTAAAATATTTTTTATAAATTAATTAAAAATAAAATAATTAAATGGCTAGACCAACAAAAAATTAGAACGATAATAATTGCAAATTTAAACAAAATAATGATCAAATAAATTAAATAATTAAAGAAAAAATTAAAATTTGTAAAACATTAAGTACCGTATATACTACTACCTTGGGTAATTATTGTTTCGACCTTCCAGTGGAGGGAGTAATTAATCGAGGGGGGTAATTATACGAGGTTTGAAATTTAGACGTGTTTTAGGACATTTGTTGGTTGGTAATTATTGTTTCAATCAATCGCTGGATAAGGCAATTGATAGAAGTGGGGCAATTACTTGAGGGAGGGCAATTAATATAAGTTATACGGTCTTTTTGTTATAATTTTATTTAGAATTAACTTATAAAAGTATTTTTATTTCTAAAAATAATTTTTTAAATTATCTATAGTTTTTCCAGGTATTGAGGAAGTTATTTTTCAGATTAAAGAAAATAATATCAAAAAAATTTATTTTGGTATTTTTAAATATTATTTAATTTTATTTATAGAAATAGAATTTGAATAAATTAAATAAAAATATTAAATAAATAAAAATTAATTTTTTAAACTTTGTTTATAATTAGAGACAGAACTTAGAGAATACTCGATCAAGATAACCAAGATTTTCGATCGAGATCTCGACTTGGTCCGGTCTCGAATTATAACTTATTGCCGAAAAATATGAATTAAAGAAATTACATTTCATCAATTCCAACGCGAGATATAAGCGATCATCTAAGACAATATGAAAAACGAACTAAACACCTAGTTAATTAAAATTTCAAATTAAAAATTAGGGTTGTCCAGCAATTGTAATAAAGATGGCAAGATTGAGTTTTTCTTTGTCTAAGAGTTTTTATGAAAAATTTAACACCAAAGACTTTTATAAAAATCATAGTAAATCAAAAATATGAAAGCAGAGATCTCGACTTGTTCCGGTTTTAATTTTAAATTATTATAAACAAAATAAATTAAAATTAAAAAAAAGTTTATTTTTATTAAAAATCTAAACAAATTTTTAAAATAAAATTTTTAAATAAAATTTTCAGACTAAATATTATTTAAATAATATTCCATAAAGAAATACCTAATTATTTATTTAGTCAAAATACACGTGAATTTTGAGTGTTCTTTGGAAGATATAAAAAAGATAAAAAAAATTTAAATTCCAAATATAAATTTGGATGAGTAATTTGTTTAAATTAAATTTATAAATTACCACACAAAGTATTTAAATTGAAAAAAATAAATAAAATTATTGAAAATTTAATTTAAAAAATAAAATTGGAAGATAATCTTAGTTGGATAATTAATTATGAGAGGTAAAAAAAGATATACTAATTGAGAAAAATAATTTTATTTAAAAAAATAAAGGAGAAAAACGAATGAATATGTGAAGGTGGGGCCGGACCCAAAACTCTAGCTATTTTTATTTCAAAACTGAACTAAAATTTTTATAAATGTTTCGTTACGAAATGAATCAGAAAAACAACCCTAACAATGAAAAAGCGAAACGCATCGCAAAGTTTTGGTGGGACCCAACTTTATAGTGGATTGAAATTTATAATTGATGCTACTTTTATTTTTATGATAATACTCTTAAGATAAAAAAAATAATTAAAACAATTTTAAAAATATTTTTCTTAATTCTATAATTTAAAATATTTTTTAAACATTAACGATCACATTATCATTTAGTAAATTTAATCATTATTAAAATAATGATAATCATTTTGAAAGAAATAAACACTCAAAAATTCAAAAAAAAATTTTTTACAAATTTTTCCTTCGAATTTTATTTTTTATAGGGGTTTCACGATCATTTTTTAAATATTAAAAAGCCCTTATTTATGATTAAATGATAACGGAGGAATTAAAATGAAACAAATAAGCCGTAAAATAATTAAAAAGGCCAAGGAATAAAGTAAAATATTTGAAAAAATTTTTATTAGACAAAAAAGTATCAAAAAGTAAAAAAAGACTTCAAGAAAAACTGATTTCGCATGGGTAGATGAGGGAAGAATTTTATAAAAAAAATTCCAAAAAGATTATTTGGATATTATTCTCAAAGACAGGAATTCCCGAATGATCACTAATAGAGCTTTCCACGATTTCCGATCGTGGAAAGAGCCCATAATCAAAAAATGAAACATCAAAGAAAATCTAATATTCTAGAGAACTGATAGACGAGGCCTCAGTACATTTCACAAATTTTTTAAAAACCAAAAGTCGGTCAAGATTTAAATTAGGAACTTCTGGATACGTAAATTTTGTTACTTCAAAAGTGTTTAATTATGAAGAAATAAGATAAGATAAATTTTGTTTTTTGTCCTATAGGGTTCTCAAAATATACCTAGAGTAATTTATTTTGATAATACTAACGAAAATTTAAAAAAAAGTTTTTCCTCTAGAATTAAAAATAATGAAGAAATGATAGGAAAAATTAAACAGCTGATGATTTAAATATATTCAAAAAGAAACTAATAAATTAAAAAATGAATAAAAAATAATCATTCTGTTTCTTATGACAAGGGATGTAATAAAAATAATTAAAATAAAAATAACTTTAGAATAAAAATAGAAAATGAAAAAATAAAAGAAAAATCGAAAAACGTGGTAGGAAAATCAACAAAAATATTTTTACTAAAAATATTTTAATTTAAGAAATGTGATTTGAAAAAATAATTTTAAAAAAATAAAAATCAAAAATTGAAGGATTATGAAGAATTTAAGAGATTAACAAAAAAGAAGTCTGGGCAAAAAACAAAATTAGTAAGCCTGGAACTCTCGATTCATTAATTATTTTTTAAACAAGTTTTTTAAAATTTAAAAAATTATTGAAAAAAATTTTAAATTAAATTTTGTTCAATTGCTGACAAATTTTATCAGTTAACTTCTTAACTTTTAATAGATGTTTTTTAAATTATATAAATGTACTTTAATCTTAAAATTTTTTTGTTTTTATTTTTTTATTTTAAGAAAAGAGATAATCAGAATTAAAAAATTAAAAAACGACATAAGTATCTCTATTATCATGTTTCTGCGTTTTTAAAGTAATTCAAATTTGTCAAATACACGCGGATAAATAGTGCAATAAAATCCGGAAATAAATTTTTCAAAAAGATTCAAACTGAGTTTCGAATTGCATGAAGTACAGGGTGTTTCACCAGAAAAGCCCTTTTTGAAAAATTAATAACTTTTTTCAATATTGACATATTTTATTGATATTTTGTATTTTATATCAATAATCTATAAGGTTTTTTTTGACATAAAAATTATGTCTAAATTCGAACCCTAACCCGAGATAATTTCGTACTCTACCGTTCTGTTTTTCCCTTTTTCCCCACATGCATTCTTACTCCCTTTTGTTTGTTACAAGCGGCGAAAGACAATAGAGTAAACACTAGGCGATAGACAATACATTTTCAATACAGTATCTACTCTTCGCCATACGCAGGAAAATATATGAAGTAAGATAGCACACAAAGAAAATAGAAAAAAAAGAGAACGGTAGAGTACGAAATTGAAATAATGGGTTAGGGTTCGAATTTCGACATAATTTTTATGTCAAAAAAAAACCTTATAAATTATAGGTATAAAATACCAAATATCGTAAAAATCTATCCACGCAGTAAAAAGATATTGATTTTTCAAAAAGGGCTTTTCTGTTGAAACACCCTGTACTAATCCCAAAAACATAATAGACCGGCTGAAAAACATATCTAGCGGCATAGTTTAAAGTAGTGTTATATGATAAAACGGAATATTCATGATATGCTTTAAAATAAAAGAAGATTCAATTTTGATTTAAAAAATGTTAAAGATTTTAAAGAGAGTTAAAGAAAAAAAAGATATCATTTGGACTGGGATTGCCCTCAATCAGTTTGTTCAGGTCCGTGTCAGGTACAAAGTCCGTAAAGCAAAAAATGAAATAAAATAAAAAAGACATTCATTTCAAGGTCCAAAAATTAAAGAAATAACAAATGATAAATTTTCTAGATTATTTGATTGACATAAAAATAAAAAAAAGAGAAAAAATAAAATTAGAAAGAAATTAAAAAAATGAAACCGAAAATGACAACAACAGGAACTAGTTTTCTTAAATTCCCCGAAATTTGGGGACAGGAACAATTTTAATTGGTTAGCCTAGGTCTTTGGGGTTTTTGGGGACGGATGCGTCGGGGATCGGGGGTTGTCGTGGAATTCAGGGTTCGGGTCGGGGTTTTTGCCAAAAAAAAGTTGCCGGGATATGGGGGACGGGGAGCTACCCTAACTCTAATGAGTATCTAAATTTTTAAAAAAAATTCCTTACAAACTAAAAAAATAATATATATATTAATATATTTTTAATTTCTATTTTTAAAT